ACGCTCGCCTGAGAAGTCCAAGGTCGTCCTGGGCAAGGAACGCCATGCAGGTCTTTGAAGGTAAGCCGAATGTAGCAAACCTTGTTGCTTAGTATCGCTTCGTAGTTAGCGCAGCATCAAGAAAACGCTTCCAAGCAAACCGTTAGTAAAGTGCAGTTTCCAAGGGTGAAAGCACTTTCTGGTGAGTTTCTGTTTGAAAATAGCACTCTTCGTTCAGCAGCAAATTAGTACTACAGCAAATACATCAGGGCTCACCACGATCATACAAAATTAAAACGCGTCGACCACCATTTTGAAAAATGGCGACAGCCGGGTAGGCCAGAGTTTGTACGGTCATAGCGGCTACGCACCGGAGTTCATGCTGATCCATGTACGCGATGTACAGTCGAGTTGTAAAATACCTGTATTTTACGACTCCCTGGTCTAGTCTGTACCGTGAAGGGCCAATGCCGAAGAGAATCTATTTGTTAACGCCGGGAAAGACACGCGGAGAACTGTAAAAGTCCTTTCTCCAAGCCACGTTGGTCTTTTTTCTCAATCCGCTGTTGCATGTCGACCAAGATACATGTATGTCCGTGAGGTATTAGGGAGGTTCTGCTCTACGTTTTGGGAATGCGACGCAAAGAATCACGCGAACTTTCTTCGCGTTCCCGTAACGTAAAGAAATGCTGTTCTGCTCTACGTTTCAACTAGAGAAGTCACGTGGAATGAGTGATGGGAATTTCCCCTTCCATATTTGGCAGTTTTCTGCATGCAGTTGATCGATACCCAGCAAATCCGTACGCATTTTCTCTGCGTGTGCCACAACGTAGAGAACCCCATCTCCGCGTAGAAATCTGGAGCCAAAACACGCGAAGCCGTAGACTCTAACCAAGACACCTGCTCTCTTCGTGATTTCTCTACGTTTCACGTATAGCAGAACCTCCCTACTGGTGAACTGGAGTCCTGGCATCTACTTCGAAGTACAGTGAGTATCGTTTTTAAAGTGACCGGGTGTAACGATATACCGGCTACAATGATAGAACTCGCCAAAATCAAAATCAAATCACAAACAATACAGCTAAAATATCACTATACACACTATTATCGGCTATACCGATATATCGCTTATTGTGATGGGCTTCAGGAAGCAAACCATATAAATGCACAGGAAAATATCGCATATACTGATCAAGAGTGATGATCACAAAACAATTGTTCTTCCAATATAGTTCACTTCTTCCAAAACTGATCCAGTGTTGCCTGGATGCATCTGGCGGCAGACATGATTGAGAGAAAATTCTTCCCTGTATGCTGTAAGCAGCCACATGTACACGTGGCTGCTTTTCATGCTTTTTCCAGCATGTACGCATCATTTCATGCACAGTCATGTGCCATGTGTCAGTCACACATGCAAATCGGCTATAGTGATGCACCGGATATAGTGATAAATTATCGAAAATCAATGGGGCACGTTATATCCACTATTTACTGTACAATATTTTGCAGCACCTAGCTAACCAATGTTGTCAGTAGAACACAGCGTTTCCTGATCGCGACTCGGCAAACTCTTTTCTGTTTGACCTCGCAAATTTCACCCTGCGAGTGTGGAGTTTCGTGGCCACAAATGAATACCTTAGTCATGACCGCAGGGGCGTGGCATAGGACTGTTCGGTCTGCTTTGGAAGGTCATGTTACGCCACATAGTGTCCAAGATAATTCACTCTATTTTCATTTTTGCAGCCAAGGATGCTTTACTGGCTCAGATAGGTCCTTTTATTTTGAAGTTTTGCGGTAAACTGCACTCAGAAACGAGTCTCATACAGCAGACTACAATCGTAGCATGTACCGTATTTCTCCGACTATAAGTGGCACTCGATTATAAGTCACACCCCCATTTTCAGGTTTGAGCCACATTGTTTCGATATATTCACTTCAGTAGCAAGTCATGCTCGATTGTAAGTCGCACCTCCTTTTTTACCCTGACTTTTAGTGTAAATAGGTGCGACTTATAATCGGGGAAATACAGTATACATAATTCTCCTTGAACTACATATACATGTGCTATCGGCTGCTTCTTACAAAAGTTTTGCTCGAGGCTCCGACATTTGGACTTGCAAAAAAACGTGCTTCTTTTCCTCGACTGGTAGGTAGCAGCAAGTTGGAACAAACTCAGCACAGTGTAGTCACTTCACACCAGGGCTAGGGAGCAGTAAAATACCGGCATTTACTACTCCCCCTGCTTCACGTTCACACTCAGCTCCCCTCGCACCGGTGTCGCTGCTGTTTTACGGTTTTCAAAGGTGTCGAAAATGGCTAGCATGTTCAATCATGTTCAAGATTGACATACTGTATACCCTGCACGCAACATGTATGAAAGACCTCATACCCGGTACTTGTACACGTCCAGTCCACGCATCGACAGGTGAACGCTGCACGCGGACTTTGCGGTACTTTTTTATCCTGTTTTGGGCATTTTGCGGACATGGCACGGCAAACCCTAGCTGCTTTGTTTGCGATTTTTGCGATACGGCATTACGCGCCTAGACCATGATGACAAGTGACTGGTATGATCCCTGACTGGCCTGAGTCCTTAGCTCGAGTCAACACGAAGGTAAACTCTTCACTTGGAACGCTTGCTGTTTCCTCGGCCCTTTCTTGTTGTACTTGCAGATATGCGCACGGCTGCCAGTTTTTGTTGGTGCGCGCAGGAACGCACGCCTACCTTGATGTCTTCAAAAAAGTAAAAAGTGGTTCTATTCGGCCGATTCTCACCGTAGATAGCTCATTTTCTCGGTTTTTGGAATTCTCTATCGGCACCGTCCCCGATTTCTAAATTTTCTTTTCATTCACTTGTTCGCACGTCTTCGAGTTTGAGTGATTCACCATCCGACCTCAGCCAAACGAAGGCCAAATCGGAAAATTCGAGACAGAAACCCTCCAAAGACACACCTCCTGAACACAAATCCACAATGGCTATCGTCTAAAACCAACGAATACCGCCAAGTTCAGCTCAGAGAGCACCCCTCAATTGCAAGAAACGGTTCGTTTTGCCGTGCTCTGATGGGTCAAATCCAAATAACCGTTATTGACGCTTTGTACGGTCGTGGTGAGCCCTGACCTTGGCAGACTTGTTTCGCAGGGATCCCAGTAGAGTCAGAAGCCCGTTGACTCACTTCGATAGACATGTAGCTTGTGGCGGGTGGGCGGGCGGGCGGGCGGGCGGGTGGGCGGGCGGGTGGGCATGGACAGAGACCACATACACTCTCATTGATGATAATGATTTACATACCAACATCATGTAGTGGAATGCCTGCCGAAGTCATTGCTGCTCTCAATGTGTAGGCATAACAATGTAGAGAGTTTATGCAGCAAACACCTAACAAATAATGCTGATGCATGTGTAGTGAATGTGCACATACCCCGCTGTGGCGAGATGTTCCGATTTTGGCACGTTTGGCTGGATAAATCCATCCGTACACACAGGAAAAGGGGAGTACCGTATTGGCCAGAGCATGATGTGCCCCCGAGTATATTAATTCTTGTCTCCTTATTTGACTAACATGTTGGCCATTCACGTCATTCAGAGCCCGATGTGGGTTTGGAGAGAGAATTGGAGCGAATGCAACGCTGCACCTTTGTTGGGAACTTCATTCTTATTGACAGCTGATGGAGCTATTATTTTAGGGGCTTTCTCAGCCCGTTTTCAGTACCTTGGATGAGTTCAACTTAACGGCCAGTTGTGAACAAAGGAAAATCGTACAGATTGTAGCAGGGTTTGGGAGGCAATTAACGCACACATTATTCAAATCGGTAGACCTTACACCTTCAGCTGAGTTCAGGATCTGCCCTCCATTATTTTTTTAACAAAAAAAACACACACTATTAATTTGATGGCACAAAGCAGCACGGCAGCGATGAGATATATGGAATCGTGTATAATGCGGAGTTGTTGCAAGGAATTGTATGCACATGTTTCTCATCACACGACCGGGCTATCATTGGCCCTTCATCTACTCACATTAGGCATAGCCCGATTTTGCTAGCAATTCTGCTAGCAAAATATCGAAGAAATTTGAAAGGGAATTTGCCCGCACAACGGAGCAAAATGTCGGTGTGTTCGTTGGAAATTGGGAGATTTTGCACTTTAGACAGTACACGTGACTCGTTTTCACACAGTTTTATAAACACTTGACTCACTTTTCCTCATTTTTGCCAACACATGACCCACTTTCGGTCAGTTTTCTCACACGTGACAACAATTTTGGAACTGAAAAGGAGCAATGTTCTGCCGTCCTTCTAATGTGTGAACACAAGATGGCTATGCAGCTTTAGTCATGCAGGATATTCATTTATCCAACAGCGTCCGGTCCCGAGCGTGCCAGATAACTGGTACGTATCTGTATTGACTCCGCGTGAAGTTGCACGTGCTGCGGAAGGATCTGCCGATTAACTTTGCTCATGTGCCATATTAGGCTTTTCGTACGGTAGAGTTGTATCGCCGGTGTTTGGAAGTGAAATTAGGACATATTCTGCTTGCCCATGATGTTGGCTGCTTCCCACTAGCTGAAAACAGACCCGGAGTAGGATGACTGTAACTGAGACTCCACCATATCGCAACAGCTTGCCAGGAGTGGTATCATATCATGCTATTATTAAGCCCTTGTATTGCTCTTGTAGCGCAGCAATTTCGGTTTCTACTTCCGGATCCACATGGGGGGGCATCAGCATATTGCGACCATTCTGGGATGGACAGTAAGTCATTGA